GTGTGTGTGTGTGTGTGTGTGTGTGTGTGTGTGTGTGTGTGTGTGTGCACCATTTTTGTCTTCCATTAGTTCCAGAACGAGTTGAGTCAGACAACTGAGAAGCTGCACGGGGAGGTGGCTCAGAGACTGCAGCTTTCAGAAGAGTTTGAGCAGGTAGCAGCCGTCCTTTGGTTTTCTGGTACTGTCACAGCAGAGGCCTGTTTCACTAAGCGAGTTCAACATACCCAGGGTGTCTTTAGGTTATCTGACTTAACTGACTAAAGAAATATAAATACATAATTCAAAGCAGTAAGAAGGTTTCCTTCCATAATTTATAATCCCCTTAAAGTAACCGAATATGTGACTGCAAAACACGACTCAAGAAGCTGACATCTGCAACACATTAACTTAATATAATACACACAAGTCAGATCTATTGTGCTCTAGATGACACGGTGATATTATAAATCTGTTTATTTAGTTAGTCGTGTTGATCTCTGGAGCAGGGTATGTGTTCAGCATAAGTAATCATGGTGAACTATCCCGGTAAGAAGTGAATCTCCGTCATGCGACTGAAAACCCAGACTTGACCCTGAAGTTGCCTCGATAACCCCAAATCCTGCTTTGTGAAACAGGCCTCAGAAGGTGACAAAGGCCTAGTCCACAAGTATATTGTTTTTCTGTGCATTTTGGCCTTTCGTCCACACCCAAACAGCATTTTGCGTCCCTGTAAGTTTTGTCAATCTAAATCCAGTGTTAAGATTTTTAGAAACTCTGTTTAACATGTAGACGGGAAAGATTTGGGTTTGTAACTTCAAGAGTGCGCACCGTCGCGTCCTTATGAGGCAACATTTCATGAAATGGCGGACATGTCTGAAATAGTGCTGGTTTTAACCTTTTCACGTGTTTACACATAAATGTACAGTTGCATTGACAGTTTTGTGTATGTATGTATGTAAGTATGTATGCAAGTGTGTGTCTCAACCTGCCTATTGGCCTTGAAAGCGCTTCAGTCATATTTTTGCATTTTCATTTTTTTTGAATTGGTGCTTGTGTGGACGGGATATCTTTTAAAACCCAGTTTTCCTGTGTACGTGTGCGCTCGGCCTAAAGAACTCTAGTAGATATCAGTGTGTGTTTTGTCAACCTCTAGGCCCAGAAGATTATAACAGAACTTCAGGCTCAGTTGGATCTTCTAAACGTTTCTGCGGGGTCACCACAAGCGGACACAGAAGATGTTCCACAGCTCAAGGTGTGTTAACAAATGACTGAGTGTCAGAGTGACATGTTGTGCTGCTCCTAAAAGGAACGAAACACACATCAGCTTCATAATTCAACACTGTGACTCAAAAATGTATTTGAAGTTTAGTGATCACCTTCAGTACAACTCATCTCCGACTGTCATTGAACAGAGCTTCTATTTTCTATAACAGTAGGTCTCTGACATCTTTACTTTTTGGAGGCCCGAGTGTTCAATATTAAATAAGACATGAAAAGAAAAAAATAATTATGAACAGAAATATACTCATGAATTTGGGAAATTACTCAATTTCAATTTTTTTTTTTACTTATTATTTTGCTTATTGTTTTTTACAATAGCAGAGGATATTGCAGGTTGATTGATTTAATCCAGTTTTTATTAGAAAATGTCCTTTCTCACCATTTTTTTTTTTTTTCTAATGACAATTATATTTCATAATGCCACTTGGCTGTTGCTTCGGTTCAAATTAAAGTCAAGTGTTCTGTGAGTTAACAAAACAAATGGGGCAAATAAATAAGTACTGAACAGATGTACAGAAGCCAGATGGTTATGTTCAGTATGAACATGTAAAGATGACTATATACTGTATATACAGTGTGTTGGATTTATATTGGCAAAAATGACCTGCAGTAAACTATTATTGTGAAAAAGCAGGACTGAATTATTTCACAGGTAAAAGGTGACCAGGCGTAGTTTGTATTGATGTAATGTTTGCTACTGCTGTTGGAACAGGAGCGCCTGGAGAAGGAGAAGAAGCTGTCCAAAGATCTGGGCCAGGCGGCCACCAAGCTCCAGCAGCTACTCAAAGCCACTCAGGAGCAGCTGACCAAAGAGAGAGAGACCGTGAGAACACTACAGGAGCACCTGGAAGGAAAGGTGAGACCACTGACGTGGTGAGACTACACATGCACACTTCTAAGCTCATTGTTTTGGTATGCGTGTACATTTTTGACACCATATTTCTTCTTTTTTTTTTTTCAAGGGAGAATACGTGGAGCTGAAGGAAGGAACATCCGTCTGAGAGGAAGTTCACTGCAGACACTACAAAGAAACTGCCAAATATGCCTTATGATTACCATAGTTATGCATTCCAAAACTATTTCTTTCTTGTACTGTAGTTGATTGCATTTGTTGCAACTGTAGGAAACAAATGTTTGATATGAGCATTTTTAAGGCAAGATTCGGAGGTAATTCTGCTACAATCTTTATCGAAACCCACATTCCATCAACAATTCTGGCTATGTCAGAGGTTATTTATCCCCCTGCCTTATATTCCAGACATTTACCCTTAGTTCAGTGTTAAAAAGGGAAACAGATTGTACGTGAAACGTACATCAACCTGTGCAATTACTTTGTATGTCTTTTTCTATGTGGTTGAATGATGGGAACATTTTATGGTTCAATGTTTCATTACCTTTGGGGCCTTCTTTTCTCTGTAGCTGGCTGCCAATTACACACATTGAATTTGTATGAATGAATAAACTACAGCGTAGCGCTACATCATTGCTGTTCAGTGTCCCAGTTGCTGTTATGGTGCAATGAGTACAGACAGGAAGCAAAGTTGGCTATTGAGTGTTATACTTTGACATGGTTTCAGAGCCGGTGATGTATGTGCACCGACATCTGCTTTATGACACTTAAAGCTAAACAGTCGTCTCAGGATGATTGCATGTTAAAACTTAAACCATCCTGCCAGGGTTAAAAGCTGCAAGTTTGCTGTTTAGAGAACAGTCTGTTTTCTTGGCGGTATAGGCTACCATTTTACAGCAGAATTAGGGGTTATAAATGATGTAGTTACTGTGATATAAACTACAGTTCTGTTATCCTTTTAAAAACTAGTGCTTTTTGAAGCCTCTTAAAAATGTGGCATTGCTTAAAGCTTTACACCAAGGTTCAGGTTGCATCAATGGTTAACTGACTTAAGTAGAATGCTTTGTGAGGCTATAGTTGGTGTCCAGACAATTGTGATAATGGCTTCTGCATTTTTGTGATGACAGACCAACCTGCAGTACATTATATTTACCAATTTGTACCAAAAATGCCAGTAAGAATGTTTGACATTCATGCGATAGGACTAGATTCAGTTGGTCCAGGTGGGAAAACTAAAGTACAGATAAACTTACTAGTAAAATAGAAAACACTGAAACAAAACTCACTACAGTGTGAATGTGGTGGCCATGGATTAACAGTTTACTTTTGAAGGAAATTGTTACAAGCGCCCCAAAACATGAGTTGCAAAGTAGGCAGACTATCATTTCTTTTTCAGATTTAGATTGAAAGACATCTCTTTTATTAAACATTTATCTCAGCAATTTCATGAGGGGGTTATGGACTGGGCCAGTAACTTCATGGAGTCTCCACTGGTTTGCCTGCCTTTCTTCAGTCTTTACAATAAACTGCGGGCTCCAGGTACATATTTAGCAAACATGAGTGGGATCCACCTTCTCAGACTCTCGCCAAGACTGAATAGGCCAGCCAGTCCTTTCCCAAAAAGTCAAACTATTCATCTGGCGGCCAGGAAAGCGTAATCGGTTGAATCTGTGACAGCAGTGCAACGCTGCGGCCTTGAGCTCACCAGTCGGACACATGCATTAAAAACATGCTCAGCTGTGTCAACAAAGCAAGGAGAAACTGATAACGCAGCGCAACTTCACTCTCTGCTCAGACAGACATAACCCCACTAAATCTTCAAATAGTTGTTTGCTGCATACTTGTGTTGTGTGAAATACTGCACAAGTAAAAAAAAAAAAAAAACTGAGTGCGGTTTTATTGACGGTATATTGATACATCGAGTCCATAAATATGACTGCAGTGAGGAAATATGGAGTAAACTTAGCTAAATGACTTCAGATTTTACACAACTTTAACTTAAGATTCAAGCTACCAGTTTGTTAAAACTTTTTTTGCAATATACAGACAGCACCAATTGCAGTGCTTGGTTTGACTCAAGCTACACCTTAAAGCCTGCTAAACCCAAAGTCACCTGGCCTCCCACATCTGATATTAACAGGCCACATGTTATCTGAGAAGCTGGACAATCCTTGTGGTATGCATCCAGGTGCTCAGACCAACCCCCAGCTCGTTAATTACAGCTTTCATCCATACTTTCTTTTAGTGGGGGGGAAAAAAAAAAGTTAACACTTGCCCAATTCATTGCATTTATTTTATAATGCTCTCAATACAACCGTTACATTTTATGTGAAACTCTTTGTACTATTCTTTATAGGTGTAACAGTCTAGAAAAACAGATTTCTTATACTTACAGACCCAGTCATTTTGACCTATAGTGAACTCTAGTCGTGCATCCATTGGGATATTTTACAGGATATGGTTTGAGTGGACATGTACACAAGGAAGGAAAATAGTGTGTACTGGCCTATGCTGGGATTCAAACAGTATGCATGTAAAAAAAAAAGAAAAACAGCAAATTATTGATTTGAGAAATATAGACATACCAAGAGTAAAGTGACAGACAATAGTTTCAATAGGCTAATGTATGGATATGTCAAATAATGAACAAAGTTAGACTGGACAGTTTGGAAGGGGAACAGACAGGAGTTTGTGTTACAGGAATCTAAACCATCCCTTTAAGCCTTGAACCAATACAAAAACAAAGTCGATATGGAAATCTTGCCATTATCCCCTCAAATCCCGTTAAACGTGCCCTATTATAAAACAGGGCAAAGACTGTTTGTTTACTATTGTGCATGACCACGCATGCTGTGGCCCTCAAGGTTCTTTACTTTGTCCGTAAGGCATTTTGCAAACTCCTCCCTGTCGATATCTGCCTTATCATGCAACTGCATTCTATGCTTGACACCTGTTGAAGAAATAAGAGTTACATTAACAGTGTGAACACCACTCAGCTTGAACTTTAATGTTATCAATGTCTAGAAAAGTCCAATTAATTGGATGAAAAAAATTGAACAAAGCAACCCTTACCCTCCATGACCTTGTCAATAGCCCCTTTAGAGGAAGCATACTGCATTTTTTCTTTGATGGTTGCACTGTCAGGAGTCCTAATGGGAAGAGAAATCATTATCCAAGTGTGTGTGCCTCTCTCACACACACACACACACACACACACACACACACACACACACACACACACACACACACACACACGCACACACACACACACACACACACACACACACAAATGATGACCTACCACAGCATGAAGACCAGTTCCTCTTTTTTACAACATTCCTCCGTTTCAAAGTGGCAGTCGTACAGGATGTAGCGGCAATGATCTTTTGGCATTAGATTCTGGAGGCTCTTGAATACATCGTCCTTGCACTCTTCAGATTTTTGCTGCAGACATGTCTCCACTTTAATTTCACCTTTTTCTTCGTCGATGACGCAGGTCACCAATCTTATACGATCCTCCTCGGCATCCTCGGTTTTCACCACTTTCATTTTGTTGAAGATGGTTTTCACTTCGTCACAGACTTTTACTCCGGACGACTGTTTTTGAGAAAACAAAGAAACATTACCCGTCAGTATTTAGTACAAAAAAACAAACAAAAAAAAAAAAAAAAAAAAACACACACGAGGACAATCCAAACCTGTTGTCACGTTCATAATATATAATTTATTCATGTTCTACACATTTTAAGTTACATAATGCCTGAAGATAGTTTATCAGAGACACGCAAAGACAAAAAAAAAAAAAAAAAAAAAAAAAAAAAAAAAAAAAAAAAAAAAAAATGCAGTTCCAAATGCTTTTGTAACTTGCTTTTATATTTTGAAGGAGGATAACAACAACAGCTTAATCGTAGATGCAATTTCATTCATTTTCATCAAATAAAGTGACAAAGCAGCTCTTTCCTACTCCCTTATTTTATTCATGAAAAAAGTTCAGCACCAAGTCTAATGTGCCGGTTTAAGTGTACAAACGGTTGTAAAATTAGAAAATAATGAAAGACTATTCCAGTAAGAGCTCTTTAGTGTGATGTGAGCCTTAGTTCATATTTTGAGCAGACTTGTTCACTTGGTTTTGAGACAGAAAGCAGAACCTTAAGATTAGGAAATGGCAAGTTCTTTAAAACTAGCCTTTGGAGAGAGGCGTTATTAAAGCAATTCAATGTGAATCTACCATCTTTTCAGCAGTAACATGGTGTGTAGCTTCCCTATGAATTTTCAAGGCGTTTGGCTGTCACATTCCAGTCATTGTAACAAGTTAGCGCAAGAAAGACTGCCCTAAGGTGTTCCCTCAGAACCACTTTGAAGCACAGCAAAGCTCCCTCCATTTTGGAGGCAAAAACCACACCTTGAACAAGCCCTATAAAACACTAAACTTGCATTTCACTCAGCAGACCATTTCCTCAAAGAAGCACCAAATGAAAATCTTACACACTCTAGATATAATGACAACCAGGCTTCACCGAGTTTACACAGCTTTTACATATGTTGTTAAAATAATGATATGGCACTTCAAAGTTTTATCAACTCTATGTCCTGTGGGGCACACAAACCACAAAGAAGAAGTTGTTCACTGACACAACACGAGTCAGTCCAGTCAAATTATTTGTGAAAGCTACTCACCATTTTGCTTCTGATGTGTGATGGAAACAGGCAGCAGAGAACCGATGACAGCAGTCAAAATGCTGAAGGGTCATATTAAGGAAGAAGAGCAGGTTGACTTATAGAGGAGGAGGCGGGGCAAATGAGCACACCTCCAAAAGTAGGCACGCCCCCCTCTTCCCAGGTGTGACACGGTTTCAGCTGCAGCCTCAGTATTTGCATCTAATCACAATACCTTTGAAGCCTAAATCACAATGGATTCATGTCCTTTGTTGTCTGGTACAAGACAAACATTTGTCAACCTTTCCATCATCAAGTTTGGTAGAGGTAGAGATCTACCATTTTGGGTAATACCCCAGGTGAGCTTGAGCCAGTCACCAGTGGGAGTGGCACTTAACACCCTTATATGGAGAACAAACCTGTCCAAATATTGAACTCATCTGCTGTTGCATCCACTGCACTGGCCTTATAAGGTAAAAGATGGGATGAGAGCACATGTTATGTCAAAAGAACCCATCCACCTATGAAAAGTAAGATGTTAGGCCTCCCGACAGTTTCCAACAGTCATAGTCAATATTTAGAGTTGCCAAATAAGCATTGGGTTCAACTCCTTCTAAACACAACTAACATGACACATATTACCATTTAAAAGGAGTAATCTGCAGTATGAACTTTAAGTGTAAATTGACATTTGTCAACTGTATATATATCGTTTTTTTCACTCTGTTTCAGAGGCCCAAATTCACATACAAAAAGGTGTGTGATTATACGTACATGACATATCAGCTATTGGAAAACTGTATTAATTCAAAGAGTAAAAAGACACGGGTCCGATCCCAGATCCAAGAAGCAAAACAAGAAAGAAGGAAGAAAACCCATTTAAACAGGGCCTCTTGAAAATATATAATTATGTGTCAATATTTAGAGTAATAAGATCTGGAACTTCTTTTAGTCCAGAGGTGTAGCTAGGAATGAGAGGCCCAGTTCGCAGGAGGGCAACGGTGGCCACTTTCCTCTGGAGAGACAGCGAGATCCTTCTTGTGGCACTGGCACCTCTGTGGCACTCTGTGGCACTCAGCGGCACTGAGCGGCACTCTGTGGCACTCAGCGGCACTCTCTGTGGCACTTCAGCGGCAGTCTGTGGCACTTCAGCGGCAAGCGTCAGCTGTGGCAGGCAAGCGGTACTAGTTTGGCACCCGTCAAGAAGCGGTGGAGCTGAGGGGGCGGAGACACATTTCCTGAGACATTTCCTGAGAACACACATCGTTGTTACAACAGGTCAGCTTCCGTAAATCAGTTTTATGATTTTAGTTGAGTCACCGGAGCCACCCGTTCTCTGTATGCATCCTTAGAGTAATTACGTTGTACTTTTTTGTTTCTCATTCATTTTATTTAAGTATGATTTTGCTGGTTTTGCAACAAAAGGGAACATAATACACTCTTTCGAAATTATTACTTTTATAGTCATTTACAACAATCGGCTAAAATAATGAAAATAAATCATCTGTTTTATTATCACTTAAAAGTATATATATAAAAAATTAAAAATTAAAATTAAAACCCATAAAATGTCCAATCCAAAAATACATGTCTGAAAATATCTTCACTCTTCCTCTGCTTATATGTATATGTATGTCAGTAGGTGCCACAAGCTGCCAGAGGGTGCCAGAGGGTGCCAGAGAGTGCCAGAGAGTGCCAGAGAGTGCCGCAGGGTGCCAGAGAGTGCCAGAGAGTGCCGCAGGGTGCCGCCAGCAGTCAGAGGAGTGTGCCCCCCTGGCCCGTGCACGTTTTGATAGTCTGTTTTGTGGTTTATTTGTTTTTTTCTTTTGAAGAGCGATGCAAAGTAAAACAGGTAGTCCGGAAGTAAGAATATGTCAAAATAAAAGTGAAGGTAATAGAATAACCGTATGCAAGAAAATGGTTTGTCTATGATGCAAGCACATACCAGGGTAACATTAGAAGAAAAATAAATAAATATAAATAAATAAACATGGGCTGATGGGAGTATGTTAACAATAGTTGACTACATGCGATTTAATATTCATTTATCCATGTACACAGCAAGAATCAAGATTTCGATTAATCTGTGGATTGTTTGATGCAATAGTTTGTAATATAGTTTAATTAAAGTCATTTTTGTGTGTGCAGAGTTGTTGCTATTTATTCTTCCACCGTATTGTGCTGCTGCTTGAGTGAACGCAGAGCATAGTGTTTACCATTTCTACCACTAGATGGCAGTATACATGTATTTAAACCATAGATTTTTTATATTTACCTGTCTTTGTTAATTGTGTTATTGATACAGATGTATTTAATGCAGGTTATGTCATTTGACATTTGATGTTGATGGTTAATTTGCAACCTAGTTGTATACATCATGTATTTACTTGTTATTTTTATGTAATAGAAAAGTGAGCATGTGTAGTTCATGAAGCAATAAATAATGACAATTGAAAAATAAAGAGACATTTGGTTCATTCTTTTCAAACACTAAGCCTAATTTACCTACTTCATTGATTTAATTGTCACACTTAAATCCTGAATTGACTGGTGAAACAGAGGAAGTTAAAAGGCCAAGATGAGAAGATATAATGTTGGTCAAATACTGTGGTCCAAATAAAATTACTTCAGTTTTATTACCATTGAGATATAGAAAGTTTGACTCTAGAATATTCAATAAATTCTTAATCCCTCTGACTGCTGGCGGCACCCTCTGGCACCCTCTGGCACCCTCTGGCAGCTTGTGGCACCTACTGACATACATATACATATAAGCAGAGGAAGAGTGAAGATATTTTCAGACATGTATTTTTGGATTGGACATTTTACGGGTTTTAATTTTAAATTTAAATTTTTTATATATATACTTTTAAGTGATAATAAAACGGATGATTTATTTTCATTATTTTAGCCGATTGTTGTAAATGACTGTAAAAGTAATAATTTATTATGTTCCCTTTTGTTGCAAAACCAGCAAAATCATACTTAAATAAAATGAATGAGAAACAAAAAAGTACAACGTACTTACTCTAAGGATGCATACAGAGAACGGGTGGCTCCGGTGACTCAACTAAAATCATAAAACTGATTTACGGAAGCTGACCTGTTGTAACAACTTGTGTTCTCAGGAAATGTCTCAGGAAATGTGGCTCCGCCCCCTCAGCTCCGCCGCTTCTTGACGGGTGCCGAACTAGTACCGCTCGCCTGCCACAGCTGACGCTTGCCGCTGAAGTGCCACAGACTGCCGCTGAGTGCCACAGACTGCCGCTGAAGTGCCACAGAGTGTCGCTGAGTGCCACAGACTGCCGCTGAAGTGCCACAGAGTGCCGCTGAAGTGCCACAGAGTGCCGCTGAGTGCCACAGACTGCCGCTGAGGTGCCAGTGCCACAAGAAGGATCTCGGCCCTGCACTTCCTCTGGTCCCACACAGGCCTGTGACAGTGGATGAAAATAGCCACCAGTGTTGGGCAGTAGCGGCACTACAAGTAGTGGCGTTACTTTTTTAAACTACATTTCTCAGTGGCATGGTGGTAGCGTCGCCTTTTATTGAATCAAATTGCTTTTCAGGAGCTTAACTTTTTTTTTTTTTTTATCAATCAAGTAGCACCGTAGCGTTCACACAAGCTACATTTTCCCCAAACATTGAAGCTCAAGCGCAGAGGAGCTCTTTAATGCAGTCTGACATAAAATGCTATAAATCAACGAGGAACGCCACCACCGTGCACGTGTGGCCGACAGAAGCACGTCCGAATGAGGGTGACATCACATACCAATCCTGAGGCTGACGCACACGACGTCTCTGTTACAGGGAATACAGTCACGCGAGCTTGTGTTTACTTGATGGAGAGATGGCAGAGGGTGAAGACCGAGAGGAATTGATCCAGAGGGAGTCGCCGTGGCCGTTGGCCTCCACGAACATACACCGTTTAATGTTACAATGCTAGTGTAGAACACTGTGCATTAGTTCAAGGCAAGTGGATTTTGATATGGGTAGTAAGGTGCAGGGTTGTCCATGGATGTAAGAATGAAGTCTGCATTGATTAATGAACTAGTATTATATTTTTTCTGCATTTTGTGAGGCAAAATGTATTGTCCAAAAGTTGCAATGCAATGCTTTCTGTAACATACTTTTAAATGAGAAATACTGTCAATAATAACAAAAATAATGTCCTGTGTCAACTACTGCACTAACTTATTGGCAAGTAATATTCTTCATCTTTTTTTAGATGATACACAGTTTAACTCTTCTTTTGAAAGAGCATTTAATGCGCCATAAACCTTCCCTCCACAGTTACTATTTATAAATACAGATACTCTTGCTTCAGCATCACAGTGGCTTTGCTTCCTCTGTGGGGATCAGTGGTTTGCAGAGAGTCAGAGTCCAGCCCCACATCAGGACTAGCTTGTTCCAAAAGGCAGAATGCCTAAATGCCAGCACATGTCATGGCGTGCCTTCTAACACTAGCACTGCAAGAACTGGAATCTGTGACTTGAAAAGAAAAACTGAAATATAATTTGTACTTATTACTTGTTATTATAGTTGCTCTGTTTAACAAAAGTATGACAGCTAACCTCTATTTTAGTGGCCTGAGGGGTTGCTATATGTGATATGTATATCATCGTGACTGTGGTAGGCCTACCAGAGCAAATGGCAGCCAGCAGCAACTTTTCAAAGCAGTAAAAAGGCAAACACAACCCTAAACCTCACAGAGCAGGAAATGGCTGCTGCATAACTCTGTGTTAGTTGAAGACTTCATGCTGCTGCAAGCTCGTTGTAAGCCAGTAATGTCAAAATAGCAAAGCCAAGTCTGTGAGAGCTCTGCCATCTACTGGTGGATTGTGGATACTGAATTGTGTTTGTGTTGTGTTAGATATGAAGTCTAAATCTGTTGCACTGTGGGGAGTGACACCATCCGCCAGTATGTATGAAGAGACATTTTCAAACTTCTATTGTGACTTTCTATCATTTCCGTAACTTTTAAAATCTGATCTATGCTAAATGATCCTCCTTGAGGAAACCCACCTTCATTAACCCATTCATTCAGATGTTGACAACTCATTTCACCAAACTTTTTCTTCTTGAAAATGAGATTAGGCCCTTCAGGTGGAGGAACCTGGTTACTTCCCTGTGCACCCATTTTGAGGCACAGTCAGTGTACACTTATACTTTAAACACAGTCGTCCCCACGTGTTATTGGATTTGTTTAGGGCACAATCAAAGTTAAGCTGTTACAGTCGTTAAAGTCTAAGTCTTTATTGCAGACAGATTTATCCTTACAGATTCAAAGTCTAAGTCTAATCTTTTTCTTTCCAGTCTCCTTACGGATTCTTCGTCTTAGGTTAAAGGACTTCAATGTTTAATGTCTACCTGTAAGATATTCAACCTTCAAGGTATTCAACGTGACTATCAAACACTCACCCTTTTTTCCCCATCCTCCTTTACTCAGCAATATTCTTCGAACACTCCTAAAAGTAGTATCCTATATTACCGTATCTACCCAACTTTTCACGAACAACAGCATTTATATGAGATGTCAACAAATATCCACACGCCTGTTAAATGCTAATATGAATATTGACAAAAAATATTCTATTTCCTAAATTAGTGCACTTTTAAATCCTAATTTGACTTTAATTAAACAAAAAACATGCCTTTTGATATATTTTACATATCTTAGTTCCTACACAATGAGCATAATTCAGAAACTAAATCATTAATATTCCCGAAATTCCAATTAACTAATATATACTCTTGTGGCTGTTACACCAAGAATTATATGAAATTGATACCACTCTCTATGTTTGTTTGGTAGACTGAATATGAAGCTACCACAGGCAGCAGGTGCGCTTTGCTCAGCATAAAGACTGGGAACAGGGGGAATAAATCTGCCTATCAGCCCCATCTAAAGCTCACTAATTAACACATTGTATGTCATTTGTTTAATCCATTCAAAACCCAAAGTGTAAAAATGATAAATTGTTTTTTTATGGAGGTTATTGTGATTTTGTGAATGTATTATTTTTACACTTTGGTTTTTGTACATTACTGTGAGGAACTTTTAATTGGTTATTTTAATACTGATGCAACTATATGACCTACATAAGTAAACCAGACCATCATCCATCTATTTCTATGTAGTTAATCTTCACTCTTCAGCGGGGCAGGCCCGTTAGGAGCCAACACCGACGCTGCCGGAGACCCAGCCTGTATTTCTGGGCCTGCTGGAGCACAGGGAGCCACGGGAGAACCAGAACCAGGACTGAGCGGGGAAGGATGTCAGACCGTGCTGCAGCAAAATGAGAGTTTTCGTTTAAAGACACTCTGGTGCTCAGAAACGTTTTTATCCACAGGGACTGCCAAAATCCATCCAAAGGCAAAGTTCTTCTTAGCTTGAAACAAATGAGATATAACGGGATAATAAGTGAGCTTTAGTGTTGCTGGATTTTGGTACCTGTTTTAAGTCTTTAGCTAAGCTAAACTAACTAGCAGCAGCTGGTGATAGCTTCATATTTACCGTACAGTCATGAGAGTTGTAGCATATTGCTCTTGTGTACCTCACTGCAAGAAAAAGTTTATTGCCAAAAATGCTGAACTATTAGTAAGCTACTTAAACATTCTCAGTGGACATACATACTGCATAAAATGGACATCTTATTTATTGATAACACTGAATGAACAGATTCTTATTTGTGGGACATCGTGGCTTTATTATGTTTTTGGATAGTCACACCCATAGAAAATAGTGTCCCTCAAGATCAATATCCGTTGATTAAGTTGCACACAAGAAACAAACTGTATAATATTGAGATATGATGATTCTTCAACCCCACGCTGGATTCTTCAACTGTTAGTAGTCAGACTCCTTTCTACAACATGGCCAGATTCAGCCACTGTGGATGAAAGCACAAGTCACTGTGTGGTCCACAAACCATTTCTTTATATGATTGTGTCATTATCACAGTTAGGCTCTTACCTCCATGAAACCAATTTCTATCTCACCAGACCCATTCTTGTCTAGGGTCTTGAAGACGTCTGTTTTAGATAAAAGAAAACATCGTAACTCGTATTATAATGTCTGCATGGCTGTAGGGTAAAAAAGTGGTCACAATGACAAAAACTCACTGAAGAGTGACTCCAAGCGGATCACGCAGCACACAAAGTTGTCAAAGTCAATGGTGAGGTTTTCGTCACTGTAGCGGGCCACAATTATCTGATGCAGAGGGCTGTTGAGAGAGAAACCTGCCAGAATGCAAAAATATGAGCTTCTAACTGCACATAATGAAAAACATGAAGACAAAGAAATTCACACACTTCACAATGTACACAACATTATATAAACAGTTCTCCTGTAAATGTTCTAAATATTAGATATGCTAATGCGGTTGTGATTATTCCATGTAAATGTCAGAGTTTATTCAAATCAATGCCGTATCCTCTACCCTCTAACTCCTTAGGGTAGAGGAAACGGACTGCAGAGAAATACATATTATTTTTCTCACCAATCTCCTCAACAGCCATCCGCATCTCAGATGCACTCATGAAGCCACTCTGGTCTGTGTCTTTCTCTTTGTACACATCCTAATGGAGAGCCCAACAAGTTAATGTGTGTGCTATCACCATTCTACCGATAAAGTATACACATGATACGTTAATGTCGATGTGAAGAAAAAAGGAACACACCAGGAACTTCTCAATCTTTGTCCACAGAATCTTAAATTCTACCAGCCCCAGCTTTCCGCTTCCATCTTTCTTTGCAGAGTACGTCAAGGAAAGTAGTAATAGAAGGAGAAATGTGTGGCAGGTTGTCGACCTCTATCAGACATGACCTTGCGTGTGGGTCATTAAGTAAACTTTAAATTCTAAATTCTAGTAGAGATCCAGAGATCCAAAGAAGTTCCCAAATGTGCCAGGCTCAATTTGGGGGAAATATGCATAAACACACATATCTCCATTTGATTAAAGGCAATGGAGACTTTGGATTGAATATTTCAGTCATCATATACATCACATCATGTAGCATCAATAAAACATTTAGAACATGCTTTACAGAAAATGCTGTCAGAAGGTGGCATACAACATTATTTTTACAGCCTTGAAGGGATAGTTTGACATTTTAGGAAATATGCTTTTCAACTTTCTTACTGAGAGTTAGATTGGAAAACAGGATGTTAAGAGGTTAATTTTGTGGATTTTTCTTGACATAACTTAAGATAGGAAGGAAGGATACGTCCAGCAGATTGACCATGTTGCGGCAGGTCGTCAGGCTAAACCCACTGGTTTTGATGTCCTGTCCTGAAAATGAAAAAACACACAGGGTAAATCGCTGCGCGGGTCAGGTGCACATAAATGCAAATACTTGACTGAAAGAAGAGAAAGAAATCATTTCTTACTCTTCACCACCACTCGGTTGAGGATTTTCCGCAGCTCGAATGCAGAAATCTCCACATCCTAAGAAGCATAATGACAAGGACATAACATTACAAGCAATGATTTGAGACCACAAGATAATGTATCTAATCTTTATTATATACTTACATGTCCAGCAAGCTGTCCAAACAGTCTCTTGAATCTGTCACTGATGTCATCTTCATCAATTACAATCTAGAGATGACAAAGGAATCTTTTTTTCCCTGCTTTGTTAAAAAAACATTCTTCAAAAGCATGTATATCAAAGGGATATGATTTTACCTGCTCAACATGGCAGTCTACCGGATCATCAATCTCTCTAGAAGCAGCGAGAAGTCATAGTTATCAGATCATTCTGAATGATTATCAGTATCATTTGTCATTATGAAATTGCAGTTATTTGTGAAAGGAACATACTGGAAAGCTGCCTGTTTCTCAGAGAACACCCGCACATAAAAGTCTCCGTTCTTGTTGGGCTCAAAGGTGGAGGGGATGATGAGGTATTCTCCTGGGGGAAGACAGAAGTGGTTGGACACTTCTCTCAGGTTGATGAAGGTCTCGGAGCGGGCTGCTGAACTGTTGCGCATGAAGAAGTTTTTCTTCAGGTGCACTTGCCTTTGGCCAGAGTACTGGAAAATGACACGCATGCAGTTCAGTCACACAAGGGCGCGCTATTCCTTCTCTCTGACTTACTATTTTTTTATGTTGTGTAATTAGAGAATTTTCAGGACTGACAATTGAACATTAATGAAACAATTTCTTTGAATACTCATTCTTAGTGAAAAACTAGTGCTGAGTCTTCATCTTTGTAAACATACCTCCTCAGGCAGCTGGAAAAAGACACACAAAAAAGATCAAATGTCAGAATAGATACAAATATTAAATACAATCACATACTTTCACAAGTATCATCACTTACATCTTAAAGGCAGCTCCTTACCTCGTATATGGCAAAGCCGATGGTCTCCGTGTCCTGCCCCATTTTCCTCATTTTCCGCCTGTTCTTCTGCATCAAGCCCACGATGAAGGTGCAGCCATCCTCACCATCATCAGGATCATCATCCACCTCTTCCAGCTTTATGACAAACTGAGGATTCATCCAGAAGGAATCTAGGAAGGCAAGCAAGGTTTAAAAATGGATATGTTGCCAGTAAAAGTATAGTGAATGTTTCTTCAGTCAATCCCCCCCAAAACAGGTATATTTCACGGCAAAATGAAAACAGCAAAAGTCATGCCTGTTCATAAAAATAGAGAGAGAGACGTCAATTCTCCGATTATACAACAGACCGATTTCTCTGCTTTCCCAGTCCTCAAAAATTTGAGGAAGAAAATATAATAATACAAAAATAGTAGACAGACTTGATAATTTCATAGAAAACACAATTTAACAGTGTGGCTTCAGAGCAAATAGGTCCACCTCAATGGCAGTGATGGAACTGACAGAAGAGATATTCACTGTAATGGACAACAAATAATATAATGTGTTGTGTTAAAGACTTGTACATCAATATATACAAATACATAATGTTGAATCTGATTTGTTTAAGGTTACTGTGGGGTTCCACAGGTTTCAGTGCTAGGCCCTATACTCTTTATACTGTATATACATGATATAAAGTGTAAAGGTTTGGAGAATGCAGTGGAAAAGGAATGTTGTTGTTAATAAGGACTGAAATAAATTACTACTACTACTATTATTTTATGACACATATACACCAGTGCTTGAGGGAAGATTGTGAAAACTGGTTATACTTGGAAAGTTTCTGCAGCCACCAGCTGAAACGCCCCTTCTCCAAGTTTCCTCAAACTCTGACTCTGCCCATTTCTTGAACTTATCGCCTGTGAGTGCATCAGGGGTGAGGTTGCAGATCTCAAGTTGAGAATATTGGCGCCGGAATTCGGAAAACGACATCCTGTGGACAAAACAGTATGAAGAAATTCAAAAAACAAAACAAATAGAAACTACCGCATCATTTGCCTAAATTGCTCTTTCCTTTCACTGGAGTATAAAACATATGAGAGTATTTCAGCACTGGGAACCCAGAAGAGGAAGAAACATAGTTTCAGAGAGGTTTACCAGAACTCCCCATCCTCACAACGGTTGGTCAGCCTCGCCCGGACAGCGTCACTCACATATCTCCACTCAGAAGACCTAGAAAAAAGTACCAATACATTGTTAGTTGGAAGTAGTTTGTGTGATAAAGTTAAAACATGGAAGACATGAACTACAGGCCTGCACCTAACTGAATGTCACACACTCTACACCTCAAACACAGCCCAGAGTGTAACAGCTTTTATTTAACCTCAGGATATACCAGCCATTCCACTGGGTGTGTATGTCTTTCTTTGTGTTACATGCTTGTCAGCAACACACACACACACACACACACACACACACACACACACACTTGTTATTGTGTTCCAAACAAAGGATGTAGACGTTTGAATTAGGCTGGGTCCTCTTATGAACAACACAAAAGGCGTATTTGGGATAGCCCATTTATGAGAAGTGGTTGAATGCAGTTCAGTTCAAAACTTGATTTAAAAATGTTGGTTGATCAGATAACAGTGTCACTTATGTGATAGACTGAGGACTAGGATTAAATGTATGTAGGTGGTGCCTAAATCCCCCTGTAGTCTTCAAGATTATCCCTCTGGTACCAAGGTCACAGATGTCTGAGGGTGGACAACCTGAAGGAAAGAGGTTGGGATATTGGTGGGATTTGTGTCAGGGATTGGTTGGAGGTGCACTTAGTTTATGGGTGTCAACTTTGTTTTTAAAGGGACTAAGAACAAAGTGACTAAATGTGAATGCCTCCTCTTCTAGGAGCCTTGTGGGTGGAGTTGGTTCATTCATCTGGTCTGGCTGCAATACTATACAAACTGGTTTCAGTCAGGCAGTGTTTCTCTCTCCCTGGCTTCCACCCTGTTTAGTGCTATTTATTTCATCATGGAGCCGAGCCCAGCTGACATTGGACAAAAGCTATGTTGAGATATTCCACTGGTTAGGTGAAAGACTTGCTAGAACTGCTAATGGTGCTAGATTTAAAGGGATCACCACAGTCATAAGGCTTCCTCGTCTGCGAACCGTGGTTATCTGGACTAAATGTCAGGGAATTTTCTGATAATGTGTGGACATATAGAGGGCTCATCGACCAACCTATGTCAGCACCCCTATAGCCACGTGTTGCTAACAAGGGCTAAAAACTAGAGAAGTACTCTGGTGAGGCTGCCAATGATAACTACTTGAGATAATATGAGCATATTCATACTCACTTGTCACTCCAGGCTCCATTCCACTCCACCTGACCCCATGGGTTTCTAATCCTGATCAGCTGCTCCCTGTCTCCTCTGTACTCCACCTGACAACAGAATAAGTTGTCAATTACTCTCAACCAGAAGAAACACACAAAAGGGACACCTTAAAAAAAATATAAATGTAATAAAAGGGGTAAAACTATCAAATATATCAAATTGTAAAATATATTACAGCATAAGCCACTGCAGCTTCACTTGTTCCTGGACATAGACACAAACATTTCCTCACCTGCTCCGCTCCTGTCACCGAATAGGCATGGCCCTTCACCAACTTGCGATAGGTGACGGCTTCTGAGTCAGACGCGCTGGTAATCTGGGATAGAGAGGAAAAGCTTGTGAGGTACAAACAACCAGATATTGCCAACAACCTGAGTGTGCAACAATAAGCTCAAACAAACATCAATGGAGCATCCCAGAAGGGAGCCTCTGTCCAGGGCCTTCTTAATGATTTTGAAGAGGTGGGGATTTGCGTCCCTCAGTTTATGCCTCTCAGCAATGCCTCCTGTGAAGTCCTCGAATCCCTCAGTGGTGCTGCCTCCGGAAAGAGCCTCGTAGCATCCATTTATTCTAAAGAGAAATGGAGTTTGTGGATTACTATACCAGAAAAAAAAAGGTACTGAAATAGACAGAAAGGTATCCAGATGCCCCATTCCTCCATACTTGGCATAGGCCTTCTCCAACAGCGCGCTCCAAAACTCTGAACCCTCCGCTGAGTGAACAAACAGCAGCTCTCCATCTTTGGTGGGCAAGCGGTCGTCAACCACCACATCCACCCAGTCACCGAACTGCCAGAACTGAGAGCCACAGAGGGGACACGATCAGTCAAATGGAACCTCAATCAAGCTCTAAAAGAAAGAAACTGTGGTGTGTGTGTGTGTGTGTGTGTGTGTGTGTGTGTGTGTGTGTGTCAAGCACCTCAAAGTGAAAGATGCCAGCATAGTTGTCCTCAAAGCTTTGGTCATGGGGGACAACGCGAGACAGAACCTGTTTGCTGAGAGTCAAGGAGGCGATGGCTGCCAGGAGCCAGCAGTCACCTGAACACAAGTTAACGATGTTGATAAAGGGAACTCCTGTGTAAAATCTCATGTAACCTCCAGAGGATTTAAAATTGTCACATGTTGGTTTCATATCGGGGCGGCTGTCGCTCAGGAGTTAGAGCGGTTGTCCACGAGTCCAAAGCTAGTTCGATCCCTGGCCCCTACAGTCTACATGTTGAAGTGTCCTTGGACAGGATACTGAACCCCAGATATGCTTGTGAATGTTTATCGCTCCTGATGAGCAGGTGGCCCCTGGTATGGAAGCTTCTTCCACCAGTGAGTGAATGCTGACTTGTGTTGTAAAAGCACTTTGAGTGGTCGCTAGGACTAGAAAAGTGCGATATAATTACAGATAATTTACCGTTGCAACCTGACACATCGCCAAAACATATTAGGTATGCAGTTTGTTTGCACACACACACCTCTGTTGTGAAAATTGTCTGGTCTCTCTTTGCTTATTAGCTGTAAACAACCCAGTCTCACCCACACATGAATGCTTCTTGCCAGACTGGGTGTGGACAGAACTGAAGAAGTTGAATGACTGACAGCTGATGTCAGTGCACAGGAATTCACTTGGAGTTATAAGGTTTGGATTTTATTTCAGTGTCATGGTTACAAAAGAAATACAGTTTCCAGAGATTAAAACTAAGCACGCAAATAAGCAGTAAGAGACATACTGTAGGCGGTTTACTTTATTCACATCTGCTAACTACAGTCTAAGATAAGCATGCAAAATCATTCATTCAAATAGTTGAAGATGCTCAATGTGTTCTTTGTAAAATACAGTAAATATCTAATTTTGCCATCAACATGTATTTGAATGTAATTCGATCGGAAAGTAAGGTAATGTTATTAGAGTAGGTAAGTTTTAAAGGTAAAAAATGCAGACATTGTTGGAGGAATGTATGAATGTGCGTGTGTTTGTGTGTGTCTCACCAAGTGCTCCTTGACAAATGTCCGTCCTGGTTGCATTCGCAACTATGAATTGTGGATTGGAACACAATTCCTGAAGGAAAAACAAGAGTAAACATTTTGTCAAATTGTAATGCTTCCTCACATCAAATTTTTTTTTCTTGTGCTCTAATAATACACCCATCCTCATCTGGTTGAATATGTTTTGCTGGATATGAGAATTACTCATAAATACTGTATAAAGGGAACAAGTTTACGTTACCAAACAGTAAGAAGTATCTATTATTTGTCAAGAGTGGGTGACTTCTCATATGGAAAAGAGGATATGACAAAAAATATCCCTTCTCAACGATGCTCATAGGGATGATTGTAATAATTGAATCTTTTGGCATATGTTTCCATCTACTTATTGTACCCACCTTGGGTCTTTTCCAGGTGATGCCTCGTACTTTGTGGGAATTTGGTCCAAGTTCATTATATCCTAAGGATGAGGGCAGAGCCTCAAAGCTGTCATCCTGAAACAGCTGTCCTCTCTCCAGACAGCTTCTCCTCAGCGATTCAAAGTCCTGGTTGAGGTATTTCACCGCATGAGAGTTGGATCCTATCCCGCTCGATTTTTCTCGATTGTGCTGAAGTTTAACTGCAATGCCGGACATTTTCAAAGATTTTAAGTCTTTATGTGTACGACTGTCTCCCAGAGTGTGTCTGTGCGGTTAGACAGGCTCTGTATTGTATGTGCAGCTCAACTGTCTCCACACCCTTTATTGTTCATACCAGACAGCCTACTCTTGCTCTGCCTCCCCTGTTTCATCCAGCCTACTCTACAGCTGGCTTTGGTTGATGGATGATCGGTCCAGTGTGGTCCATAAGTGAAACTTATGCTGCTCGCCAAAAAATTTTGATCAGTGGAATTGTATATCGATGATATTTTTTAGAACACCACAGTGAAAATAAACTTCATCTGATATAGCTCGGAGTAAGACTACTTTAACCATTTGAATTTGTCGGATATGTGCAAGATTTTATAAAAGTCCAGAGGCCATAGTTTCATAGTTTCTTTATTTTCGATCATTTGACAGAAGTTTTGGCATTAAAATCACTGCACCAAAAATCTAAGAAAGGAGCTATTTCAAATAAATGGAATAACACATGTGAGTGATGCAACATATCGCCATGTATATGTCCAGCAAATATCATTTAAATGTATAAATATATTTTAGACCTTTTTGAGCATTTGGAACATGTGAATATGAAATGTCTTTTACATTGGATTTACTTAATTTGTGACAATAAAGAATAAAAATTGTGTGAATGAAATAAATGTATAGTTAATCTTCCTGCAGTTATCAAGAGAGGGTCCTTCCTTGCCTTGTCCCCAGAGTCAGTAGATCGCCAGGCACAGCCACTGTAAGAGGAAACATAATTATATAAGGAGTTGTGTAATCCAGAAGTGCCGACAAAACCAGCAGCTTTTTGTTTGTCTCTCACACACATGCTGAATATCCAGCTCCATCTTCCCTGTGCCAGCTTTCTCCAGAGCCTTAAAGATTTCTGGTTGAGAGACAGAAATATAAATTCAGGTAATGTGAACATGCCTACAGATAAATATGAGAAATACTTGTTGTGTTTGTTGACACTTACTGAAGAGCATTTCCAGTTTAATGAGACAGCCTACAAAACTGTCAAAGTCTATGGCATACTGAGCATCGGCATAGCGATTGACAATGGACTGCAACACAAAAACGTTGACTTGGAAGCCTGGGGAAGAAAAATAGCCGTCACTTATCATCGTCTCCTGTTAGCATGTCAGATCAGTTTCATAGAGGTGTATTATTTCTGATCCTGGTGAAGGATAGTTTTGAAACGTTATCAGATATTAGCAGGGTGATAATAGAAGAGTTAATTAAGTTACACAGCCTCGCCCACTTCTTTTGTTTCTGCAGTGAAGTCTACAGTACATGAACAAAATCTATGCGCAGGGAGGGAGTCCTCTAACTGGCTTTTCAAGTCTGCCACACACACACACACACACACACACACACACACACACACACACACACACACTCACACACACCAGCTGGGACAACATGCTGCTATTTGTTCCTGCAGGGCTCAGTGGTCAGTAATGTGTTTTATAAAGCCATATATTTTTAATACATGTCTCATAACTTGGTAAACATGTATGTCAACTACAGTGGCCCACTCTGTTCAAAGATAACTAAAGCCTGCAGGCAATATATCTAAAAAGCTCATTTCGATATGTATCAGGAAAGCAAACATTATTACTGAATTTCAAGCCATAAAACGATACTTGCAGTGGATGTTAGTTTTGCATCGAGGCATTTCAGAAGAGGTGAGGCAATAATAAAATGGGAATCATTTGCCTTTTGATTTGTACATGACATGGCTGTCATAATTTAAAACCATGTGTCAGTGTTAGTTTAATGCAGATATTTGATGGTTTTTATTGTATGAGATTCCTCACGTGATGATGTTTGTTACCTGCTGCAGTGGTTGCACCTCTCATCTCGTGGGAGCTCATGGTGCCAGAGTTGTCTTTGTCAAAATGTTTGAAGATCTCCTATATGACCCAGGCAAACATGTGTTGTGTTACCAGATACATACCTTAATTCCAACATGGCCAACGCTCATTTCAAACCGCATAAATCAAAGCTTACCAGGTATTTCTGGATTTTGCTCCACAGCAAGTGGAACTCCATCAATCCCAACATGGCACTTTCATCTTTCTGAGGAATGCTAAGGTTTATAAAAAGCTCATCCTGAATTATTAATTTAACTTATTGTTCACATATTCCATAGTTATAATGCACCCAGATCCCAAAAGGGAGGACAATGCAATGCTTAAATAGGATACATCCAGCAGACTGACAATAAGGCGACCTGTCTGAAGACTGAAGCCATCTGTCTTAATATCAGACCCTGCAAAAAAGTGACAAAACATAGCTAGTTGCAACTTGAAAGTAAAAGAGGCCAAACGTCAATATATGTCAGAGTTCAATGTACTCACGATGAGAGACAACGTGGTTCAGAATTGTCACCAGTTCAAAGACCGAAACCTCCATGTCCTGTTTGAAAAATGCACATTATAACTTGTTTTTAACTTTGTAATCCAATTTTTGATTTTACTTACAATCAGTTCTCATGTTGCTCCACCTACATTGCCAGCAATCTGCCTGAAGAGCTTCTTGAATTGAGGATCCACATCGCTCTCAGACACTTCCTCCTGGGAGAGGGAGACACAGATAAGTCTAGTCACTAATGCCAAATAGAAGCAAATTTTAGGCCTTTTCGTAGATATCGGTGAATGATAAATGTAACACACTGTATGTTAAACATGAAGCAATAAGCATTTAAAAAATAATTGTGACATATTTCCTTCAATCTCAGTTCTAAATTGGAAATAAAAGAATGTCTTAAAAAAGGGACTAACCATTTATCAATGCATGCAAGAGCAGCTTATTATTATTCTGTGGGTTGCCTTACCTCCTCTATTTCAGCTTTGATGTCCACCTGCATTGGACTGAAAAGATAAAAAAAATGCAACGCTTGAGCACACTCTCTCCACAATACCCTATAGATGTCAGTCGATCTTTAAGTTACTGTAATACAGATACCTGGTTGCGGCCTGTTTCTCTGAGAACACCCTGAGAATAAAGCTGCCCTTCTTGTGAGGATCGAAGGTCGAGGGAACTATCACATATTCTCCTGGAGGAAGTTTGAAGCGGTCGCACACTTCCCGCACGTTGATGAATCTGCTGCTCATAGCCACAGCTCTCTGTCGCAGCAGGACGTCTGGACCTAGGTGAACATTGCTGCAGCCTTTGTACTGGAGATTAACAGGAGAAAATGTTGTTTATTACTGGAACGTCACACAGCTACCCAGAAATGCAGAATGCAATCGAGAAACCCTTGTGACACACTTGTGTTTATTTTGCACGCAAGGGATCGATGCCGGCACGTGACAGTACAAATACAGACCTGGTCTGGGACCTGTAAAAAGGAAACAGACAGAAGAAGTATTTCAGAAAATCAGGTAAAATACAGAGCACTAATTTCATATAATATATATTACATTATTCATAGACACCTCATAAATGGCAAAGCCAATGGGTTCAAGGTTGCGCTTGAGCCTCTTCTGCCGTCGTCCATCCTTTTGCATCAGCCCAACCAGTAAGGTGCACCCATCCTCACCATCCAGAGGATCATCATCCACATTCTCCAGACGCACCACAAACTGAGGGTTGGATGAGAATGTGGCTGGAACACACAAAAGTATAATCCTTTACATGACGGAGTGTAACGGAAGTTGTAGCTCAAACATACACATGGTTTCTTTTATACCTGGGTTATTGCGGCAGCCGCCAGCAGTGGATCCGACCCTCCACATCCCTTCGTACTGGTAGTTGTTCCAGTGGCCCACATCATCACTCATGAGCGTGTCTGGGCTCAGGTTACAGATCTCCAGATTGGAGAACTGCTTGATGAAGTCTGAATAGGACATCCTGAGTAGAGGAACACTTTTCTCAATAAAGAACGTTGTGTTCTGAGCCTTTATAGTTCCTTCGGTGTTGTAGGACATTATCAATCCATATTCCAGCATCAACAAAATATCTACAATACTATGTTTATTGACATGTAAAGGAAAGGTTAAAGACAATGGATTTACCAGAATTCTCCATTGTCAGCCACATGGTACAACTTTGATTTCTCATCTTCACTGACGTGCCTCCATTCACTGGATCTAATTGGGATTTAACATGCTTTTAGGAAAATCCTAGAAGTAAACAATGGTAGCTAATGGTTAATGGATCTAGAATGTAATTTTTTACCCATCACTCCAAGGCCCAGTCCACTCCACCTGACCCCATGGGTTCCTGATGCGGACCAGCTGAATCGGCCTGCCTCGAAAATGAACCTGGGAGAGAGAGCAACAACAGTGGGAAACATAATTTGCATGCAGTAAAAATAGCTTATTGATGACAGTTTAGATAAATTGTATACCTCCTCTGCACCAGTGACTGAGTATGCATGTCCCTTGACAAGTTTCAGAGCTGTAACTGCCTCTGAATCATTGGCACTGGTGATCTGAAAACACCAAGAACAAACACTTAGATCATGTCAGTACTGTTGGCGTGTTTGCTTGCAGGTCAGCATGCAAATCAGTATGAAAATAAGACTTACATCTATAGAGCAACCCAGCAGTGAACCCAGGCTCAGGGCCCTTTGCATGATGTGGAAAAGCTGCGTTGGAGCTTTGTCTAAGGTGTATCCTTCTGCAATCCCTCCTGTGAAGTCCTCAAAACCCTCAATAGTGTTTCCTCCTGACAGGGCCTCATAGCAGCCATTCACCCTGTCAGACGCAGAGGGATGTGGACAGATTTGACCAACTATATATTTATAAATTTTGACTGCATTAACATTTCAATGAAGCAAAGGATACAAGGGGAACAATCTGTACTTGGCGTAGGCCTTCTCCATCAGTGCGCTCCAAAACTCTGAGCCCTCCGCTGAATGAACAAACAGAAGCTTTCCATCTCTGGTGGGTAAACGGTCATCGACCACCACATCCACCCAGTCACCAAACTGCCAGAACTGAGAAGAAAAATATTCACATCAGAAAACTCCATTTCAAATACATTTACGACTCATGCAAGGCAAGGCGATGCGAGGCAAGGCAAG